GTGTTGGTGCCCGCTCGCTGGCCGCCGCGGCCGCCGCTTCTCTAGAGGTCCTGGCGCACCCGCACGTCTATCTCCCCAGCTCTATCAAGTCAGCAGAGCGAGCGCCTCCTTATGTAAAGGCTTGTGGCCGCGAGGCGACCAATCACTGTGGCCCGAGCACAGCAGGCGCCCAATGGCAACGCCGGGAGGTGGGGCCTCCTGGCACTGATTTACTACCTGGAATTGCAGGGGAAGCGCGGCCAGGCAGCGCCGATCGATACGGAGCCAAACTGTGACGGGCGGTGAGGCTGGGGTGTGTGTGTGTCTGTGCACGCGTGTGAGTAGCAGGGGGAGGGAAGCAGCATTCAAGAGCAGGCGTGCAACCTTTACAAGGGAGCAGGTTTGTCTGATCGGAGTAGCAACCATTAAAAGAAGCCAGAGGGCATTGCCCCGACGACACCACGCTTGTAGCGCTGGCTACAAAGAAGAGCAGGGCATTGAGTGGGCGTGGGTTCGCCTGTCCTGCGCCTTCCCGACGCCCATTTTGGCCAGACTATCTTCTATCCCATTTCTTTCACGTGAAGAGAAGATCGGCGGAGACGTGCCGTGGCTGGAAGGTGGAGATGTTGTCTGCCAGGATGAATGAAGCAAAGCCGGGGGCCCTCGCCTTCCAAGGATGGAAGAGGGAGGTGGGCTTGCCAAGGGGCTGTGGTCTTGGGAGAGCAGTGCTAGCTCCTCCCCCAGTAAGAACAACCCTCTCCTCCTGCTGCTCCTCGTCTCCCGGGCAGCACCCTCCGCTGCGCCCAATGTCCCCGGACGTTCGCTCTCGCCACCGCCTTTCCTGTTAATTCTAACACCCGTCGTAGTTGTCCCTATGATCTTCCTCACACGTGAGCTGCTGCCCTGTGTCTCCACTGCTTCACAAGTTTGGTTGAAGATGGGAAAACTTCGGTCCCTCGCTGTTAGTGAGAGAGGAGGGAAAGGATGGAAGATAGGACCTGGAGCTCGCTCGAGCTTCCACTCTTCCCATCCCAACTAGCAAGGTTTCCTTAAGCAACAGGCTCTGTATAAATGTCATCTTGATGGCCAAAAGGGGAGATGCCTGTCTTCTTCCTGAGCCCTTGCTTCCTTTGGCTGGAAGCTGATTTCCAAGTTCTCAGCACTGTGGGCACCATACCCGATAACCGGGCAAATGTGCTCTCTTTCAGTTCCCTTATTTTTGGCTTCTATGTTTAGGCTGCCTAAGCACATTAGACTTGATTCTCTGTGTTGGAGGGCATATTATTCAACGCCCCTGCATCATACTGTGACATGGTTAGGTTAAGGACATTGGAAGCACAGTTTTTCTAAGATCCCCATAGCTTGGTGCTAGTGGTTGGAACCAGTCATGAAATGTTCACTACTGGAAACATACTTCCCTCTTCCCAATGTGTAACTGGTGAATAGGAAAATTTTCATCTTAGGTTTTTGAAATTGTCTCCTGATGCCAAAAAGCAGCAAGCATTCTTGGAGATTGCATTGGGTTAAAAGAGTGTTTGAAGAAACTCTTTGAGGCCACATGTGCAGCTACTATTGAAAAGCCTTTCCTAATCTGGCACCCACTAGATGTGTTGAATTATGATTGCCTTCAGTTTCAGTTGACGTGGGCATTGGCTGTGCTACAACTCTGCTGTTAGTGGAACTTTGGGGAGAAGAATGAATGCCTCTCCAGAATCATGTGTCCTAGTCTGACCAGTGCCATGTGAAGCCCATTTTGAAGACCAGGGCACTTCACAGTAGAAACAAATCAGCTAAGAAAATGGCCATGATATAAAACATGAGAATAGATCTCTGATCCCTAATAGCTTAGTTTTGCTACCAAACTCTTCAGTTGCACTGCAACTTCTTCTGAACCAGGTATGGAGCTTAATGAGTGGGTAAGGATAAGACCCCACATCTCTAATGTCAATAGCACATCAAAGTTAACTGGTGCTTTTTTCAGTTCCAGTCACATAAACCATCAGAAACCCTATTGCAATGCCTCATGTATTATAATTCCCCGCATATATACAGTATCTGTTGGGAAAAAGCATCATTATGTTAGGATGCTTCAAGTATAGCACAAGAATTCTTTTTCTCTTCTTTTTTACATCAGAAATACATTGACCAGATGTGTAATGTGTCAGTGGCTGAATACGTGCAATGGAAATAGTAAGAGATCATTCATTTCTGAAGCAATCATATTGGAGGCCTTTGAGTGAAATGTACCCAGTGCCCTCTTCTATAATACAGTTCCATTTCCAAGTAGTCCAGTCAGCTGCCAATGCTAATTTACACAAATTTGCTTCTCTGCTTACAAGTATGCTATGTAAATTCACAATGATAAGCACCAGATAATAATATGGTCTTTCAAAAATGTCCCTGCACTTTTAACTATATGCAGAGTCACTGATCTTCCTCCCACCTCTAATCTAGCCATCAGACATTTCACTCTTATATATTATGATAAAAACATGTGATTACCAAGGGGTTAGCTCATTAATCTGCTGCAGCAAAAACAATAGTGTTGTAGTGTTAGCTTTATTTAATTTACTATAGTCCACTTCATTAGATGCATGACTCTAGAGAAATAAAATTGTATGTCATAGCTGTTACATGCAGAGAGATAATAATTAAGAATAGATTTCTGATAACATATATCTAATAAATTAGACTTTATTACAAACCTTATGCTGCAGTATATTAGTCTTGAAGATGTCACAGGTTCCTTGTTATCAATATGCATGAAATCTGTGTGAATTTTGTTGACTGTTATTGCTGGTTGTCTGGAATGTTTACTCCTCCAAAGTCAAAGGAAGATTTTATTGATCTCACCGGATTCCATGTTTTGCAATGTATACCTGAAATATCTACCCATTTAGAAATAACTGTTGATGTAACTGTTGGTGGAAACTAAAACAAACCTGAAAACTATATTCAAGTATAAGCTCAGCTATGATTTACAATCAATAGGTGGCCAAATGGAAACATTTACTTCTCATGTTTTTTGTGCTTATAACCTGAGTTGCAAACATAATGGCCTACTCTCTTTCAGCAGAGCTACTAGAGAATGGGATTTTTCCCTAGTATGTCAAACAGCTGCTTTTAGGGGACAAATTTATGAACTCTTTCCTCTCAGCTAACTAGAGTACAAACACAGTGAAGACTCTTGGGAGAATTTGGGCTGTTTTATACAAGATAGAATTTCCTCCAAAGAAGTAGAGGAGTTTAAGCTAAATAAGGTAATAAACACACATGGAATACATGCACATGTGCAAACACATGCACATGTAAGGGAATAGGTCATAGTTATACTGATAATATGGACATATTTGTTGAACTGCACAATGCATTTTTACCGTTTCTTTTATCAAAGGATAATTTCCAAGTAGAAAAATGCGTTTGTTTTAAAAGTTCTGGTTCATATAGCATCTTATTTGCTTTGAACACAGAAAAGGTGACTAGTTTAAGGCCTTTAAGATTTCTTCTTTAAAGAATACCCTCAAATACCACAGTTGGCACTATATACAACATATAGGTATAACTGAATTCATGTGCGTTTGACCATTTTGCATAGAGACATGGCTAGCTCTATGAATGCAACAAAATGAAGTGATGGGAAAGACTTGACTATACAAGTTCAGAACATCAAATTCTCCATTCTACTGAATGCAAGTAGAAAACAAGCACATCAGGAATAAGTTTTCTAGCCTAGTTTTTTTAATTCCAAAAGTTAAGGACTCTGCAGCAGTTCAAAAGCAACTCCAAACCTCTTTTAAACAATGTCAACTGTGTTCAAGAGCTGAGCTGAATTATTCCTCTCTCAGTTATGATGTATTTGAAACTATCATCATCACCATCACCATTATCATCATCCTCATCTGTAGTTCTATGGTGTTTCTGGGTGGCCAATTTCCCTGTTTCAGGACACCTCCCAGATCAGGTCTTTCAAGGGTAAAATGGCTTAGAGCCTCTTCAAGTCCCTTCATAAAACAGCTGTTTGTTTGGGGTTTTAGTATGCAACTAGATAAAAGCATGAAATATGAAGTAAGGATAAGGATAGGGTAATATACAAGTGATTTCTTTTAGTCTCCTTTTGTATGGAGTTGGAGGGGAAAGGATTTTTGATGCTATCAAACCCATAGGAGAGGACAGGGCAATGTTTTTTGCTAGGTGTTCCAAGTATTTTGTGGTTGGCAGCAAGTTTTAAGCTACTCATAGATTGTCTTTTGAGGATTGAGGAGTAGAAGCAGGTGGGGTGTGGAAGAGCCCTCCAGACTATGATTTTCTTCAATCTCATATTCATATTCTGCTATTTTCATCCCCAGTTCGTTCTACTACTTGAACCAGGGATATTTCTCATATGCTATGATTGACTCTTATTACTTTTCAGTCAGAGGATGTGGTCAGTGGATGAGAGCTTACAATATGATGTAAGCAACTTGTCTTTTGGGGGCACTTAAGGAGAGTTTAGGAAGGGCTTGAATGGAATGGGACAGAAGGGAAAATGTGATATAGGTACAAATCTTCTGCTTGGGAGTCTGGAAGTGCAGGAGATTCAGTAGAATGAACTACTCCCTCTCATAGTTTACTCAATCACAGAAAAAATATAAATAAGCAACTAAAGGAACTCCCCAAAAGATCATATTTTCTTTCACCGACTTCAGTTGGTTAGCATGGAGTTAGGTGAAGAATGAGGTCTGCTATTAAGGAAA